CCTTAAAGTTGCTAACGTCGAGAAACACTGGCTTAGAGAGTTGTTCTGCTTTGGGATCTAGGTCAATGTAGCTACAGAACTCAGTCTGTGGGTTTACTATCGTGTCTACGAAACTTTTCCACCTGTTTAGTATTAATCTGTAACTATCCATAGTAAGATGCTACTACAAAGACATCAGAAGTCTTCAAGAATATCTCCTCCAATGGATACTATACTAGCACTATAAAGCATGCTGCATATTTCTCCCAGATGGAAAAAAGAAACCATTAAAGAAGAGGCAAAAGCCTTTAGATACAACCACAGTGCTTCACCATTTGGAGGGAGTGGAATGAATCACTTTACACAATGTGGGTTTTTAGACTGAATGATTGGTAATATTCAGGGTTTTATCTTTTCTCATTATCCACAACCACAAAAGCCGATAGGAAAAAAAAATGTGCTAAAAATAACTTCACTTCTGCCTAATATTTCAGAGGTTAACAGATACAATGAGAAGTATCTCTTTTATCTCATATTTTTAAAGCATTCTTGAAGTGAAGATGCTTTTCAAAGCCATCCTTATTCCTTATGATCTAAAATCTCTGGTGCCAATAAAGCCTTCAGCAATGCTGCTATTTTTATCCTCTCTATACAAGAAGAAATAAGAGGTCAGGAGGGACAACAATGAAGCACTCAAAGCAATGCTAGAGAATAACTAAAAAGGTTAGCTCCCTGTGGCTTCCTCTGTTTTAAACACATTTAAGGCCTCTAGAATATTATTAATTCCTTGCTGAGGAAAGGAGCTCAATACAATAAATAGGTTAGTAGAGGAAAGTCAGGGGTCTATAAATATTTTGGACAGTTTATAAAGTTTCCTTAGCTATGTCATTCCTGTAGGCTTAAAAGAAGAGTTTATGGTGTAGGAGTGCTTCCAGAAAAAGTTTTCATCACATGGTCCCTCTGTCTCAAATTATTGGTGGAAATTATTTTTAGAGATTGTCATCTTCAACTTGTAATCCTCTTGTGCTTTCTGAGCACTTCTATATTTTTCCCCACAAGTGGAGAGGGAAATGCTGCAGAATGCTTTTCAATAAGTAGTGTTAGGAGCCTTCTGTCTTGAAACACCTTTACAGCACTGGGCAAGACTCACCTCTACAGTACAGTATAAGCGAAGATTTTTGGGCTAGTGATGAAGAGGAAAAAAGCAGTGTTTTTTCCATACCCATATGGAAAATAAAGGAAACACTGTTGATCCTGCTTGTAGACATGGGTCTGAGCAGCTTATTGCAACGTAGTGTGTTTCTGGAAAGTGGGAACGGAAAAAGGTGCAGTCACTTCCCCCCACCCCACCCCACCCCGACCTCTTCCCTCTCAAATCCCTGAATCTTCTCTACTGCTCTGCAAGCTCTGGACAGTCCTCTAAGGATGCTTCAGATGGAGAAATAAAAGTGCTAGGAACCTTCCAGCTGAAAGTGTCCCAGTTTATATGTGAACAGAAAGAAAAGTGCTTTAATCATGTCTCATCAGCATCTATAGTGTTTTAGTCCAAAATCTTCAATTTGAGGGAGCTAGAGTTGGACATCATACGCCAAGTCAAGCATGACCAAATCAGATATGTAGTACCCTTCACTTCTTTTGATCTGAATGTTACACTTCAGCCGATGCAATTTTGAATTGCAAGAGGTTTTTTTAGCTTTGGTCTAGTCAAGTTCATAGAAAGTTCTAGCAATTGGGCCACTTTCAAGAGAAACGTATCATTTTACCTGTTGACCTGTGTGCTATTCCCAAATGATAATTTCTTTTATGTTTTGCTCCAGAACTCTAACAAATGACATATTTAATATAAGATTTAAAACCAATAAGTGTTTCACATACTGTACAAAGTGTACCTTTTGTTTGCTTGTCTCAGGGCTGTTGCTAACTTTCTTCCTTAAACCTTGTGACCGATGTGATGCCATTTTACCTTCTGGCAATATCTCTTGGAGCTGTTAATAGAAAAGTTGACACTAATTAAAGAAACATACGGGCAGGGTGTAAGCAGGAAACATCCATGGCAAAAATTATCTATCCTCTTTGATCAAATTTCAGAAATATTAGGTGTAATGTTAATTTACAATTTCTTACCTGCTTCAAAAAATACTAGGGCTGTGTGGAGTTTTGGATTTGAAGGAAAAAAAGGGGCTTCAATGGATGCAGAGGCACCCACGCAGGACCCCTCAGCAACTCTTTAAGCCAAACATGTATTTTTCTGGGATCACGCTGCTACTGCCACTGCTTTAAAAACCCTGCTACTTTAAGTAGTTGCTGACAAGTGCAGTGTGAATGCCCCACACAGTCCAAAGGATCTTTTTCTCTTTGACCCTGAAGTGTTGCACAGCCCTAAAAAATACCAACTTTAAACATTTGTCCCTTCACAATTTTGCCCCACTAGGATAAAAAAAGTAGTACAAGAATCCTAAACTAACAATGCAAAAAGAGATAACACAACTGGATAATGACACTAATGAATATCTACACCACCTTATTTTCAAGCAACTGGACACTAACACTAGCACAAGGAGTATGTGTAATAATCTGCATCTCACCTGAAAGACCACGATCAGACTCTATTGATGGTATGATGTTTGAATGTGGGTGTATATAGATATGACAGCTGATAATAAAGGGAGTAGTATTTTGAATTCTCCCTCAGTTTTCCAATGGAGCATCTTACTGTATTCCCTTTCCACACACTGCCTTGCCTTGCCTGCACTAGTGGATCCTCCTTCAACTGTTTTATCAAAGCAGAATGTGTACCAAAAATACAGCTGGAAGAGCATCCTGCCTCAGCCTTTAGTTTCTTTTTTGCCAATAAGCAACATAGCAGACCTGCTTCTCAATTAACCTCAGTGCCCCAGCTCAGTTTCACACTCTAAATTAAAATTATTTGTGTGCAAATGCACTATTTGTGCAAATGCACAAATGCAAATACACAGTTGAAATTCTATAGATTTAGCTTCTTTTTAGAAAAAAACAAAAAAAAAGAGCTTACAATCCCAAATGGGAATAAGGAAATATGTAGTGGGATACATGTAAGAATTTGCCCCGGTATATACAGTATGTTTAAGAAGATATAAATTAAACAACACTAACTGAACATTCTGTAGGATTACATTTTTTAAAATGAAATTTCTTTCAGGAATCTGAAAACTTATAAGCAGCTGAAATCTGTGACAATGAAGTAAATTTCAATATAAATTATTTAGAAAAGCAAGAAAAATGTATATTTTTTACAGGAACAGAAGTTAAAACTAAAATTAATGGAAACAAAGTAATTCAAAATAGCAGTATTTCAGATTTGGCAGTCATAGAAAGAGGCTGCAATAGATCATACTGAACTAGTTTTGTCATTGCATCAGTCTAACTCAAGTGTCCCTAGTCTATTTGAACCAGAGGCCACTTCTGGGTTTTTAAGAGCATATTATGGACCATCTCACAAAATCCAGTCCCAGTTGGATACCAAGCATGCAGCATGGTCTATAGAGATGCCCAGGGTATGAACTTACCCTGTTATCTGGGAACAGTTTGATCCTGTTGAACCTGAGGAAGTGGGTCCTCCAAATGGTCAATGCCACCACTTGCCAACTAGATCCATCTCCCTCCTGGCTGGTTAAGGCTACTCGGAAGGTGACATGTGGGTGGGTCTAGGTGATGGTGAATTCATCCTTGAGGGAGGGAGGGTTTCCAGCTGCCTTTAAAGAGGGACTGGTGCTTCCCCTCCTCAAGTAGCCATCACTGGATCCCACCATATCAGACAATTTTTGTCCAGTCTCCCACCTCCCCTTTTTAGGGAAGGTGGTTGAGAAGGTGGTAGCGTTGCAGCTTCCTGGAGGAAACGGATTATCTGGACCCCTTCCAGTCAGGTTTCAGGCCTGGATATGGGACAGAAACGGCATTAGTCGCACTCATGGATGATCTCTGGCAGGAGGGGGATGGGGGTAGTGCACCCATCCTTGCTCTTCTTGACCTCTCAGGGGCTTTCAATACCATTGACCATGGTATCCTTTTGGGCCAACTTAGGGAATTGGGAGTGGGTGGTGCAGTTCTGCGCTGGTTCTCTTCCTTCCTCCAAGGTCAATCCCAATTGGTGTTGATTGGGAGCGAGAGATCCAGCCCACGGCCCCTCCATTACGGGGTGCCACAGGGTTTGGTACTCTCTTCTCCTTTTTAACATCTACATGAAACCACTGGGTGAGATCATCCGCCACCATGGGATGAGGT